AATGTGGGTATATAGGTTAGTTAAGTAGAGGCTAAAGAGAATGAATTTAACACTTTAATTTGACAAAAAATTGGCTGCTTTTTGAGTACGGAATTTACCTGATTTTAAAAAAAAAAAGTTATTCACAATAAAGCAGCATCAGGTACTAGAACTAATTACTTTCTAATGCTGAAATAAGTCTTGCATAATGAATTTATAAAATGTAAAGTAGATATTATAGGTTAAAAATTTGCATAATAAACTAGTAGCATGTTGTTAGTCTTATACCTGTGGAATATCTGCATTTCCCTGTTATCTCTGGTCAGCTTGACTCATCAACATTCTCTTCATTCTCTAGTTGAATGGTACAAAGAAAACTTTCACAACTGGAAAAACTCAGAGAAAGCTTTGGAGCCCTTTCCTGTGACAGAGCCATTTGCACAGCTCAGTGGTCCATAGGGTGGCAGAGAACCTGAAGGAATTTATTCTACCTCATACCCTCTTTTCTTTGAAGCCTGCAATCAAGTGGCCACACTGAACTCTTAATGTATTCAGGATACATGGACCATGATGAATACAGAACTACAGTACGGCACAACTTTGGAAGGGTTTCAGCACTTTATAGGTTGAACCTGTTAATTTCAGCTTTTAGTGCAATAAGATGTCCTCGCTAGGTGTTGATTTTAAAGAACTGCACAGGGTGAAGAATATTTATAATGCTATAAATTAGTGTAACTGAAGTCAATCTGCCTTATTAATTAATAATTGCGATTAGTTCTGGAATAGTTCATCTGTATTAGTTTGTTTTTACAGTGTAATATGTTATTTTTGTCACTTTAAGGAGTTGTGGTTTATTTTTAGTTGAGGGGGGGAAATGCTATATTTTCTGGAGAGTATAAATCAGTTGATAAAAGCTGGATACGGCACCTGTCTGATTTGGTCCTTTTCTCTGTTGGTGCAGTGTTGCCTTCTGTAGATGAATGATTAAGCTGTTACCTACTCTATCAACTTTAAATGCTCTTTTTTAAGGGGGGGAAAGGTGTCAAGAAGTAGCAGAGTAGCAGGTGTTCTTGCTGAGATTTCCAGAAGCATTCTCTTAAACTTTGCTCTGTTTTAGAGGTCATCTTTTTACTGTATTACTGTCTTTTTACATGTTAATTTCTTTTTCTTAACTGTATTTGTAACAAAGTTGAGATACTGTAACACAGTTAATGCTCCAGTGATGTTATTTCCTGTGATATGAAGGCTATTTATGGAGAAAAAATTTTTAAAACTACTTTTCCTGTGAATTGTGGTTTGGCAGACCTTATTCAATGCAGTGTTTCACAATTCTGTATTTTTGGGTGACAAACATTTTAAAGATGAAACAATATTTGAGTTAATGTAAAGTTTGGGGGGAAACTTCAATTCTAGAAATATGTTAATGAACCTTTTTCAAAGTTTATTTAGTAATAAAAGTTATGGTGTAACTGGTTTCTCTTAATTAAGTAGAAAAAGTAGATGATGGTTGGTTTTTGTTGGTTTTTTTTTTTTAATTTCTTAGTTCTTCCTGTATCCCCCAAAAATTATCTTCACTTTTTTGGCTTTGAGGTGGCAGACATAGAAGGGAAAATTCTTCTCGGTTTTATCACTTTAGTTTTTGTACGTGGCACAGTCCCAGACCCTTCTGTTGCCCCTGGGTAGAGCCGCAGAAGCTCAGGACTAGGATGTGATGGTGTGCTTGGAAATTGGGAGTTAACTTTCAAAACACGAGTGTGTTCAGAAGTTCTTTCCTCATCACCCTAAGTGCAGGAAGAACGGGACTCGGGGCATTCGCCTTAGCTTTGCCCCTGCTGGAGTTTGGTAGTAACTGAACATCAAACTTAATAGTACTGACCCAGACAGCCTAGAGGTAGTGCTGCCTTTGGACCCACAGCGCTCCCAACTTCATCACGCCTCTTGTGCGTTGCATGGTGCTGTTGATAAAATGCCACTCTTGTTCAGCCTTCTTTTAAGATGACTCTTACCAACCACCAAGTGTCTCAGCTTACCTTAGCACCAAGTCTGTGTTCTAAAGTCTAGGAATGTGTTACTGAAGGTGAGTTTTCTGTGACTAAGTGGGATGATAATACCATACTAGAATTATGTTGCACTTGTATTTTTTTTGGTTTCTGATACTTGGTTTGGTAGCCAAAACCTCCATTTGGGAAGGACGGAAGTTACAGGACTTAATGTGTACTAATCTGTTAGAATACTTAACTTACCACATACTTAAGGTTAGGCTTCTACCAATCAATCACTTAAATTTCATTGCCAAACACACATTGCTGATAACATTCAAATATTTTCTTAATTTTTATATTTTCTTGAGATGCAGCTTCCTTACAATATGCAGAGAGTTACTTATCCGTCTTACAGGTTTGTATGTTACAAAAGTCAATACCCTAAATGGCTGAAGGACTGCAAAGATCTGTTTTAGCTGTACTTGTGCTTACTGTGAGCTGCATGAAAGTACGCATCTTTCACGTCTGCTTATAATGGAGTCATAGAATCATAGAATGGTTTAGGTTGGAAAGGACGCAGGAGACCACGCAGGAGAAAGCAGTAGTGTGATTAGATTATTGAATAGATCTTTTGAAAGTTGTTTTGAATGTTAAGATGCAAGCTTTGACACTTACGTGACTATGCAAACAAGGGATATTATTAGGAGTGGATTTTTCAAAAGGATCTATTAATTTTTAGAAGAAGCTGTTCTAGTTTATTTAAATGGTTTTGAAGATTTAATCCTTCCAAGTGTTTGAGATTTTTGGCTTGGTATTCCTATTTTTATTTTTTTGTATTTATATATATGTATAAGTAAATGCATACACACATTTAAAAAATATATCAATAAATATTTGTAAAAAAAAAAATCTAGGAGGCTTTTGCTTTGAGCTCCTTTGCTGTAGATCAGGTTGCCTTAGCAGGTGAGTGCTCTGGTAGGAGCACTTCTTTCACAGGGAAAAGTCTTTTTACTGTTAAAGAAAGCATCTTGTTTTGCCATTAACCTTCTGGCTTCTGTAGGAAGAAAAGGGCAGAAGATCAACTAGTGAACTCTTAATGTGGCGGCGTGTGATGCTTTTAGTTTTTTGTCACTGTTTTTACTTGGAAGATATGAAGAAGCATTTCTGCAGAAGGCAAAGGCAGTGATTTAAAATACTGTGAACGCAGCAATCTTTCAGTCCACTTTTCTCAAGGTTTGTGTCACAGAACAAATGAAGGTTACACCAATAAGAAAATAAATGGAGTAAATGTGTATGTCACTTAAATTGTTAAAGCTTTCTAAAGGAGAAGGGCCGGCCTTTGGCTATCCGGATGGAAGTTGCTATCCGACTTCCATCATGGATGAGAGGCTCACGTTTGGGGTATTATTTGGGGAGAGCTGTCAGGTCTGCATCTCTTGGGGTTTACTTGGTTGGATCACATCTTTAGGAAGCAGCTCCTGAAATCCCATGTGTACTGAGGAAAACCAATACTGCCACCCCGTTACCTTGGTGTCCCACGCCTGCCATTCAGCACATCCCTTGCAAGCAGCAAGAGAAAGAATTTGGAAGACGGTTGTCATAATATGATGGACTAGAAAAGAGCTTTTCTTTGTTTACCCTGACCTTTACTAGATATAGGAGGAGATTATGGGAGGAAAAAAAAAAGATTTGTTGTTTGTTTGGTTTGGTTTTATTTCTCCAGTCAGTATTGTGGAGGGGTACAAAGTAGCATAAATCTGGTTTCCCACTAGGAGAAAGTTGTGAATAGCTTTGGCTGGACTCAGACTGCTCCATTTTGCTAAAACTGTGTTCTTACGCTCTTTCATAGCCATGAAATGCTAATATGTTTCTACTTTTCTGTGAGAGGAACTTTAATACAAACCCCCAAATTTTGTTGGAGGAGAAAGTGGCTGTTTTATTGAACAGATTATCTCCGAGACTGAATCATCCTTTTCTTTTGGTTTTGTTTTGCATTAATTTTAGTTTTTATTTCCATTTTACTTGGCAAAACAACAGTTTCTAAAAATAATAAAAGTTAGAATAACCTGTTGGTCCATAGGAGCTCTGATTTTTGTGGTAATGTTTGAAAACTCTAAAGTCAATAGTGTTTTTACTTCTATGCATGTCATCACACATTTGGAGTTTATCTGCACCAAAGATCACAAGATTATGTTAGCTGCATCAGTAGGAGACACACTCATGAAGCGATTACATTCATCATTTCTCAGCAAAACAGTCATTGCCAGTGGCAATGGAAAATCATGAGTATATGAAATTTTGTACCAGTATGTTGTTAGCACACCTCTCTCATACAATAGTTTGGGTTTTTTTTTAGCCTCTAACTGATTTTTTTTTGTTGTTTTTGTTGTTAAAGAGTTTTTTGGTTTTCAGTCACTAAGTAGCTGCTGACCTGGTCCTCAGCGTTTCAGCTTCTGAAAATACATCACGTGCCTGCTCTGTAATTTGCAGCTCCTGAAGAAGAGTGGGTGGTTGCTCACAAAAGACTTCCAGAAGTGGGACAACTTGAAGAAAAATATACTTTGAGAGTAAAAGGAAATAGCGGATGTGTGTCACCAAGTACTCATAGGCCTAGTTTGCAAAAGGCTGCTCCTTCCACCCTTGAAAAAGGAGGGAGTGCTTTAACTCCTTTATTACTGCGGAAGAGGGAGAGGTCGGTTTGGCTTTTTTTAAGAGGAGGGAGAAGCTGTGGACAATCTTACAAAGCACCATTTCTCTCCACACAGAGCGTGGGGAGCGTGAACAGGGGATGCTCTCGCAGGGAGGCTTTTTCTAGAGCTGTGGGCTGTGCAAATAAACACAAACTGGTGATGTTGGTGTCCAGCAGTGGTGCGACACGTCCTAATGTGTGCACTCGGGTGCAACCTCTACTGTCCAGCTGTAGCCACAGGGGTGTGATAACAGTCGCCTGTTGAAATAGATGCCCAGCCCACAATGTGGAAAAAAACACTATTTTTTATTATAATTGTGCTTCGTCAGGCTTTGTGATTTAGGCAGAGAGATAATGTTCCCCTGTGGAATGGGGATGGAGGGTGAGGATGGAGGTGCCTTTTCCATTCGTGTTTACTCGTGGTGCGTCAGCTTTGCACAAAATTCATCAGACTTCAAAAGAAAGTCCCTGAAAACTGAAGCAAAAATACTGCTAATTTGACACGAATCCCACAGAATCTTCTAGTTCCTGCTACCCCCCCAAATAATCCAGGGAGCCACATCCAAAATACCTTTATCCCAATACTAAATGCATGTCGGTCATGTGTTGTGTGTAGACGTATACATAGAGTTTTGTGTTATTGCTGCATTTATCATTGCCATAAGGCATAATTTTGTTTGCAAAGACCCGTCATCGATTCGTTGGTGCTATTCCCGGTAACCGCCACTGTCGGACGAGCAACAACATCTGCTTTAGTTAAACATTGACGCGCGAATATCGGGCAGGTGATGGGTGGAGAAGATCCCCTTACTCCCGCCGCTGGAGCAGGCGCAACACAGCAGCCGAAATAGCTCAGTTGGGAGAGCGTTAGACTGAAGATCTAAAGGTCCCTGGTTCGATCCCGGGTTTCGGCAGAAGCCTTTTTCTTGCCGGTGTTTT